CTCTCTCTCTCTCTCTCTCTCTCTCTCTCTCTCTCTCTCTCTCTCTCTCTCTCTCTCTCTCTCTCTCTCTCTCTCTCTCTCTCTCTCTCTCTCTCTCTCACTCACTCACTCACTCACTCCTTTCTTCCCGGTTGCCGTGCTTGTGACTTTTTTCCCCTGCTGCCGTGCTCATATTAGTTATCTAACTACAGCTGTATCTTCTTCTTGGTTCTGTTTGTCCGCTTATTTTTATATATTCTTCTTTTCTCTTATTATCAGTGGGACCATTGTCATTAGGTTTAGGCCTGTTTTGGAACTCCACTTTAAATAAAGCCAAACAACAACAACAAAGTCTTTCCTGGTGAAGCACGTACAGTACGGTAGCTATGGACGTTTAACCGGTTGTAATGCCACAGTCAAATGCTATCAGAAAAGAAAAGTACTGTCGCCAACCATAATGTCTACACACCATCTCAAGGAGAAGAATTAGACAGCACAAGCAAAGATGTAGAGCGGCAAAATAACTTCTGACCAAGTGTTTTCAGGATTTCCGTAAATGGGAGGGATCTCGATCTGAGATCGGCTCTCAGGAGCTGGCCTCACGTCTGGTGTTTCAGATGAAGACATTATACACAGAGTGGAATGAGTGAAAGCTTGTCTGCAGGCAGGAATACCATTTGCCAAGGTATTTAAGGCAGGAATACCATTTGCCAAGGTATTAAAACTTCATCAAAACAATGAATACTACCGGTACCTGCAATAATGTTTTCAACTTACTCTCTCTACTCTCTCTACATGGATAATCAGTAGGGAAATATTTCAGTGATACACCGACTCATGATTCTGCCACAACCCTGCATCACACTTGAGTTGGAATGGAGAGCAGCCAATGTAGAATCAATCATGTTTTATAGTAATAATAATAATATCTTTATTAGGATGACCCAGAGGCTTGTCGCCTATCAAGGGGTTCACCGCTTTGAAGGATGTACATGTACACGTATGAGCTAAAGTGAAAGTAGTGAAAAGTTGTGCATCGTGAATGCGTTGGGGAGCACACGGGGGGGGGGGGGGGGGGGTTATGTACATGGTGTAGGCATACCGGAGAGCGAAGCACTATGTTTGCAAGTGAGTTTGCGAAGCTCATTCTTGAAAACAATAATGGATGGTTCTGCAGTTAGTCTTGGTGGGAGGCAGTTCCATAAGAGGGAGGTTTGGAAGAGAAACAACGATTTTGATGTGGTCTTTGCTTTAGGGAGAATAATTTTGTTAGGGCGTCTCGCACTCTGCGTGATATTGAAATGGAATGAAGCTAGGCAACGTCGATACTTGAAAATAAATTTGTGCATGGTAACCAAGCTTAAAAACTGCCTGCGGTAAAGAAGGGATTCAATGTTAGCTTTTTTATTAAGATCCTGCTTGGGTGTATTAAAGTCGATTTGGATTTTGCGTTTCCTAAGGTAGGATCTTGCAAACCTGGCCTGGACTCTATCCAGCTCAGTCAAGTCGCTTGAACGAAGACGAAAGGACCACACTACGACGCTATACTCAATCACAGGTCTAACACAGCACTTGTAGAGGAGCATCATGGCCTGCGGTGTAAGACGATGTGCCATGTGACTAAGAAGTGGTGGAGCTTGTGAGAGATAAGGTGGCAGCTTCAGTGGCAGATCGACGATATGCATAGTTCGAATTAATTTCCTAGAAGTAAGTTTGACAATATGCAGACTTTTTCCATTTTTGTCCCAAACCAAGAGCATTATAGCTCTTTGAAAAAGAGGTTGGCGCGACTTCGGCGATAGTAGGGGAAGAGTGTGTTGCTCCCTGGCCCACATGGGAGCTCGCATTGAGCAGGGAGTGGTGCTTTCTTGCAGGTTTGCCGAGTGGACGGTTCGATGGACTTCTCGTGTGCTCTGGATGGCAGTCGTGAGTCAGTCAAGTGAGAATTCAATTATAGCCTTTGCTGAAGCATTATAATCAGCATTATAAGGTAGTTTTTGGAGCATTGGTTAGCAGTATACGAACATTTTTCGGGGCATATCCGTTGGACCCTATCGAGGCTATCGTCGTAATCAGGGAGTAGTATTTTACTACTCCCTAGTCGTAATATTAAGAGTACATGAAACATTAAAGTCGATTCGGATTTTGCGTAGGATCTTGCAAACCTGGCCTGGACTCTATTATATCCAGCTCAGTCAAGTCGCTTGAAGTACCGTACTGGCAATATATTATGTTGCCGCAGTGAGGCCATGAAGCGTTACATTGGCACATGTTTGCCGCACGCAGGGCGTTACATGCAAAGTCGCACAGGAGCCGTTAGGCCACACTTTGTTTTTTCTTTGTTTCTCGTCGGCAAATTTTAACAAAAGGTACGCGGGCGGGCGGAAAAAAAACAAAAGCCAAGGAAAAAACAAGAACAATTTCTACTGAAAACTGGATACATTTTACAATGTACATTTATATGCGTGATTCATACAAGACACTACGTATACCACGTATACAGTACTACATTGTACAATCATGTACATGTAGTCCCATACATGATTGCACTACATTATCACATCAGCCCACGAATATCAGGCAAACTGCAAAAATGTCAATGAGAGCATAAAGTTTGATTACGAGATGGCGAAGAGAACATACATTTATCTGCTATCGCATCAACAAACGTTTCCCACTCGTCATTAATTTTTGGTTTTGTTACTTCAACGTTCTTGTGTCCGCTTATCAAACTCTTGTCTCCGCTTATCAAACTCTTGTCTCCATGCTGCTCATCTTTCCCTTGCCATGCGTCTATTGCTTCGATTTTCTGCCTACGGCATCGTTCCACAGACGCCAGTTGCCGCGGAACTCGTCCGACTTACTGTTCCTGGGACCCACGAGGCTCAGCTCAGCCAGTGAACGACTGAAAGCTTCGTCATGACAGCCTTCATCGCAGAGAACGGACGAGGAGCGCTCCTTTGCTGCATGCTGTGGTGCAAACGTTTACGACTATTGATTGACGCATCTAGCTGCTGCAGCATGTGCAGCGTACACACATGTACACATGTACGTAGTATGAACTTTTTTTTTCTTCCGAAATTTCTGAAAACCTACGCGGGCGATGACGAGAAACATAGAAAAAACAAAGTGTGGCCTTACACAGGTTTCCATATTGCCGCAGTCCTTTCTTTTGCTATTGCCGCATCACTTTTTTGCTATTGCCGCATCATTTTTTTGCTTTTGCCGCATCATTTTTTCTTTTCATCCACATTGAAGGCACAGAAATTCAGTTGCTGCAATCCTGTTTTTCGTCTCCTTTCTCTCCTCATCCTTTCGTTTTTCACTTTCCTTGGGCGTGATTTTCTTCACGCCGAAGGCGAATAGAGACTGCATTGTCACAAGGAAACTGGTAAACACATCGCTCTTCTTCGCAAAACGACCTCGGGAAAGAAGAAACCATTGAGATCGCCAACCACTGAATGATGCTTGGGCCTTTTTAGCGGTGCCGACGAACACGCTTTCTCGTTTGCTCACGAACTTTCTTCTGCTTCACTAAAACTTTCTTTGCACGATCAGCAGCAATCCTGTTTTTCGTCTCCTTGCGCCCCTCATCCTTTCCTTTTTCACTTTCTTTGGGCGTGATTTTCTTCACGCCGAAGGCGAATAGAGACTCCTGCATTGTCACAAAGAAACTGGTAAACACATCGCTCTTCTTCGCAAAACGACCTCGGGAAAGAAGAAACCATTGAGATCGCCAAACACTGAATGATGCTTGGGCGTGATTTTCTTCACGCCAAAGGCGAATAGAGACTTCTGCATTGTCACAAGGAAACTGGTAAACACATCGCTCTTCTTCGCAAAACGACCTCGGGAAAGAAGAAACCATTGAGATCGCCAACCACTGACCAACCACCTTCGAGTGTCAGGACTTCCTGCTGCGTCCAGTTTTGAACTTTTCACCACGCGGTACACGTGCTTTCACAGTTTTCAGCCTTTTTTTTGCAGTGCAAACTGCAATGAAAAGATCGCCGCACCCCGCCGGACGCGCGTTACGAACTCAACGAATATTTGTCGCACTAGCCTGGTCGCGCGTTACGCCGCACCCCCCTGCGTTACGCGTTACGCGGCAACATATATTGCCAGTACGGTATTAGCAAGAGTCCATAACCCAAGAGTATGCAACTGTGATCTCTTTTCTATGGGCCAACCGCGCGGCGCGCTGCCTTCATTACATCATTCAGCTGCACTGCGGAAAATCAAACACCGCACTTTCCCGCTAGTTTGAAATGAACTTTCGTACGGAACTGGAGTTCACGCGCCAGAATTCAGAGATTGTGTAGGTACTGGAACGAATCGAGCAAAAACGGATGGGCTCGTGCGAGAAATTGAGAGTTTGAATGCATGCTTTCAGAGCGTGATGAAGGCAAGTTACGTAATGAAGGCAGCGCGCCACGCACCCATAATCACAGTTGCATACGTACTCTTGGGTTATGGACTCTTGGTATTAGCAAGAGTAGATAAACAAGAGTGTGCAACTCGCGGATGGGTTGGCCCACGGCGGAATTTTTTGTTGACGTAATCTTTTCGACGACGCACGCGCTGCGAGTCTTTCGGAAAGTTTTCCCTCGTGCTCTTGGCCGGGCTTTACACTACAAGGTCGGTGTCCAGCACGTGCTCTCACACTGCTCTGCGCGGCAAACTGCGCGTTTCTCTGAAAAAAGGTGACGTCAACAAAAAATTCCGCCGTGGGCGGGGGTATCTGCAGATTGTGCAGGAGAGATCCGGAGTTGCATACTCTTGTTTATCTACTCTTGGTATTAGTTAGTTGAACGAAGACGGAAGGTCTTGGTAAAAATTTATCGATACGGCGCAACCTGAGGTTACCTTGACACCACCGATTGCGTCACCACGCCACGGTGCAGTGAGGCCGAGCCCAACTAAACTCCCCCAAGCCAAGGGTCACATGCACAGTGAAAAAAGTCTTGATTTTGAAACACTGTCACTTGCGTCAGCGTGATTTCGCAACTCATAACAGTTATAGATCCTTTTGGAAATAGATTGATATTCGCCTTGTTCTAGTTGCAGAGCGAGTCTTACAGGTACAGGATCTAGGACATAACAGCGTCCAAAGACTGCGAGCTTTTCCTTCCCTTGGCCCTGGCCTAGGACTGCTGGTGCTCAGTATTTCCCAATATTCTTGTGTGCATGCATTTTGAAACACAATTTCGCAATTCCTGACATAATTGCAGCCCTCTGCTGCTAGCCTTTGAGCATGGAGACCATCGATTGGGTTGTCGGTGGTGTGCTTGGCTTCACGGGCCTTGCATTTTATGCTGGGAGTTCTGGCTTCTCATCGGCGGCTAGAGCAGTTGAGGATGCGGAGGAGATGGCACCTGGTCCGAAAATGTTTGAGAGACTCCAACACGAGCAAAGTCGTTCCTTGCCCTATGCTGCTGTTTCGGGCTACATTCAGCCGAGCGAGGAGCATGGAGGTCGTGTGCTGACCTATGGCTCTGGGAATATTCCTTGCGTTGTGAGACGCACCATCACCAAAGAACACTCTAAGGACTACAGCCGTGGAACTGATCGCTGGTGAGAGTTCCACCTGTGTGCCTGTACAATTCGTAGACCAGTGCTGAAAATACACTGTACTCAGTACAGTTTACTACCGTATGCACGGGAGACTGGGGAGAACTGTAAAACCAAGAGTGCATTAGCCAGAGTGTGTAACTACATTAACTCTGCAGCTGGTCTGGTCCATGGAGGATTTTTTTGTCGACGGCAATACTTTCAGAAAGCAAGACAAACGCACGTGCAAACTCCTCCGCCTTGTAACATGCTGTCAACCAAACAACGTACAAGGCATGCGCTGGGCCATGGGCGCGGACCTTCATTGTAAGTGTGCGGGTTTTTTTTGCCGTTTTTGAAAGCGGAATTTTAAACTTTCTCTCCCGCTGCTGGAGCTTTTGTCGTGGTGCCAGTTTAGCAGGCAGGAAGCCTTGCCACGTTCACATGGCCACAGACACACAAGACATGCTTCGTCCAGTAGTAGGACTCTCAACACACACACACACACACACACACACACCCACACACACACACACACACACAAAACTCTCCAGAAAAAGTAATGCCAGCAAAATATTCCGCCATGGGCCAACCTAACCCAAGCAGAGTTGCACACATGCACACGCTAGGTACTTTTGGTAAAACACGAAAATTTTCGCAGGTTTAATTTTCATAGATTTCGTGAAACTTTATATGTAGGAATTGCTACCAGTATCTACTGCAACTTGAGAGTCGTGTTGCTGGTGTGGTGAACTACATTGTAGGTCGTCCAACGAGCACATGTGGTGGGGAGTGTGGACTAGATGATAAACTGGCTGAAAGCTACTGCTTTTTTTCTTGACCATTTCAAGAACTTGGAAACCTGCGAAAAACTATACCCCTACGAAAGGGATGTCGGTCTTGCGGCATTGTTAGAGTACTACTTCCTTTGCAAAGGGGGGGGGGGGTACAGCTAGTACACTGGACATATGACAGTACGCATGACACTTACTGTCATGCATTTCAAAATATTATAGATATCAGTGGGCACGAGAGTCCAGCCAGACTCCTAGCCTACTCTCAAACCGGGATCTAATAGAGAAACTGCCCCAAACTGCAAAACTAAGCCTCACAGTGCAGCACGCATACACACTTTACACAACATGGGTATCTAAAGAAAACCTAACACTGTGGTACTCTGGTTATCTTCTCGCAATCCCCGAACAACCATTCTGGATCTTGAAATCTGCCTGAAGTAAAGGCTTTGTTTCTGGTGGTCAAAAATGCAAAGGGAAGACGAATCAGTATCGAGAAATCCCCAAATGCCAAAGACCTTGCCAAGAACCTGAGAAAACCTTTGTGCCCGTGTTTTTTGTGCAAAAGATTGATGATTATGGACCCCCCCCCCCCCCTAAATAGGCCTATGTGTTAGTAGCCCAACACGCATTCGGTTGTGGATGTCCTCTCCTGTCTTTCCCGGCACTAGGCACGGATCGACCAAAGAAGTGAGCCGCGCGATACAGACAGTTCCCTTCTCTCTGTCGAGCTCAGCAAGCAGTGGCTCGTCGGTGGACTCGCACGCGGTTCAGGTGCACGCCGCCGAGGCTGATTACAGTCAAGTGCTGACCAAAGTCGAGAGTCGGTTCGATCATGTCGACCGGGGTGTCGGTGCGTCTATCCTCAGCGTCGTCAGCGGCCACAAGACGACCGGATACGAATACATCGAGGAGGTGCTGCCTGTCGCACAGTTCGTCACTGTCCTGGGCAAAGTGTCCCTTGTCCAGAACTCTCTTGTTGTGAGTACATGTGTGCTTACCTTGTGTTCACCCTTAAGACTACGTAGAGTAGTACTACTTGTATACACCGTACCTCTGAACAATATACTTCCTCCGACTTATTAAAATGTGCGGTTCACTTTCAAGCGTAGTACAGCGCGAAGACAGATTGTATGTTCAAAATATTTTGCACAGCAACGGCTATGTACATGTCCATCACATTGAGAGGAAAATTAGTCGCTCTCATCTGAGGAGGAGTCTGTGGATTCAGCGGCTTCCTCGCTGGGTGCTGCAGTTCTGGCGGCCATTTCATCGCGGACTTTCTCAGCGCTTGTCACAAGTCGCTTTGGAAAGCTCAGGTCGTGGCGATTTGCAGCAGATTTCGTCTTCGAGCTCTTCCGTGCTCCGGTGTGGTGTGAATACGTGTTGTCACCGCGACTCTTGATGATGCCTTTGAAAGATGCGAAGAGACATCTCCATCATTTCTTCACAGCCTCCATCAAATCGGCGACGTTACGCATCGAGTCAAACACGACGTCTTTGCTGAGCATAACACGCCGATACTCCTGTGCATTCTAGTCGCTGGCTCGAGAATGTCAGTTTCGCCAGCTACCGTACCCGTCGGTGAGTCGGATCGCTTCCGAACAGCCTAAGGTGTTCCGGGAGGTGTACTCACGCCGTAAAATTTCGCAGCAACATGCTTCAAACGCCTCTGCGATCGCTTCTCCTTGCTCTTAGGGCTTGCCATTTTTCTCCTACACCCAACTGTAATAGGTGAGGAGTTGTGTCTCTGTTTTATTTCGTGAGATGACAGGTAGATTGAACGGAACAGATCGATAAATTGAGACGCACATTTTAAGAAGTCGGAGGAAGTACTACAGTATACCGTACTCGCATGATAAGTGCCCTGGGGCATTATTCCATTACGAAGTGCATTACAAACAGGGCACTATTCACTAGAGGGTACTGTTTTCAATACTGGTACTTTTATAAAACAAAGAAGACCAGAGTCCATTATCACGACTCGACAAAATCTGCTACAAGTACTGCAAAATTTATCCTAAAAGCACCACTTCAATGACATGGACAAGAACATTTTGTAAAGGCAACACCAAACCTGCACAAGTCCAGAGGGGGGGGGGGGGCATGAGTAGAGAGGGCTTTATTCCCGTAGCTATGCAGAAGACGTTACTTCAGTAACGTCTGGCGCTAGCCAGGGTCCACACAGCTTTAATTTGGTGTTTGTTTGTGTGTTTGTGTCACGCCTGGCACTATCCCGTATCTGTCCCGTACCGTACCGTACCATCAAACACAGCTGGCCACATACAGCTGGCCGCATTATTCAAATAGGGCTTTCAAACGAATAATCATAACGTGAAGCAACTTGGAAGAATGAGTATGAATGCGAAGGGTATGGGGGAATGCATGTAGGGCGATAGTGTGGGTTCGAATCCCAGGTTATGCCTAAAATAATAGGAGAATTGAAATATTTATAGCATCCCTATGCTTTTTTTGCCTAGGTCATCAAGGCGGTAGACGGTGTCGTATTACCCTCGACCGTACCTGTCCCGTACCTGTCCCGTATCTGTCCCGTACCTGTCCCGTACCGTACCGTGCCATCAAAGACGACTGGCCACAATGCATATTCAAGTAGGGCTTTCAAATGCAAGATCATAACGTGAAGCAACTTGGAAGAATTAGTATGTATGCGAAGTGTATCGGGGGATGCATGCAGGGCGCGCGATAGTGCGGGTTCGAATCCCAGGTTATGTCTTTTAAAAAAAGGAATTTTTATTAGAATTTATAACATCCCTATGCTTTTTTTTTGTCTAGGTCATCAAGGCAAAAAAGCATAGCGTAGGGCCCTGAGCTTCCAAGCTCTCTCGTTTTGTCATTGGCTCTCAGAGATAGGGGCACTATTCAAGAGAGTGCTCTAATCGCGCAAGTACGGTACTTGTAATCATTTTTGTAGACTACTGGCGGAGCATCCTCTTCTTGTTCATGGGACTCGTCAAGCATGTTCTGTACTTAGGGTGCATTCTTATGTTCTCTAGCTTCTCGGAGAAGAAGAAAAGAGAAGTCAAGGAAACTGGTATAATTTAACCCTTTATTGGCTGGCCCATACATTGATCGAACACCGATGTTCGATGGGGTAGGCATTTTGAAATTATCGTAACTTGGTCAAATCTGGGTATTTTGGAGTGATCGAAATATGTAGGTCGAAGAGAAACCTCTCAGCTGTCGGCTCGAACAATTTCCACAGCGATAGGAAAATCGATTCTTGAGTTATAGCACTCGTAATGTTGGTCCATCCTCTTCTTGTTCATGGGACTCGTCAAGCATGTTCTGTACTTAGGGTGCGCTCTTATATTCTCTAGCTTCTCGGAGAAGAAGAAAAGAAAAGTCAAGGAAACTGGTATAATTTAAGAACGGGTCTCGAAGAATTCGGAGATATTTTGCACATCTCAAGCAATATGAAGCGCCAAAGTGGCCGCGATCTTGAGTGCCACGAATGTACTATGCACTGTGCGTATGCAAAAAGGGAAATGTGTACACTCCTGATCAACACGTGGCTTTTAGCCGTAGGTCGCTTGCGCTGATCCCAAACCGCGGGGAATCTCCAAGTTTCAACCACCTCTGAAGCTTGGAGAGCTTTGAAGAGCCTCCTAAAAGTCGGAGCGGATATAAGAACAGCTCTCGTACTTTTCCGAGAGTCTCCAACTTTTTCGAGAGGATTTAAGAACGCACCATTTACGTACTCCACCATGTGTAGTACTTCCTCCGCTTCCTTACAATTGTCACTTCGCAAATCCCAATGGTTGTGACTTGCTTGTATTAGTCGAACTGCCGGAATCGCCGTTTTCTGTGTTCAACATTGGTACCACTCTTCCTGCGCAATGTCTGCTTGTTGCGCAAGCCATGGTGGTCTCGGAGCTCTCTTCCGCACCGAACAAATTCATCACATTCCGCACTATTTCGCCCCAGAGCGCATCTCTTTTTTCTGGAGTTCGTGCCGGCCCACTTCATTCGCGTGGGTATTTGTCAAGATTGCAAGCTCCGGTATAAAAATCCTGGTTTCTCTCCTGAATTCGAAGCGCTGATGTTGACGATGGCAAGAACAAAGTGTTCTCCATTATTTCCTAAAAAAATGCCATGTGTGGTGCATGTTGCTCCGAAGGTAGCAGATCTGAAAACACCATGGGATCAAGAACAACAAGAACGACTTCGAAAAGCAAAGTTTTCATGCGACAACAAACAAAAGCACGAAAGCGAAAGGAAAGACGAAGCTTCGAAGCGAAGAGAGTATTGCTTATCGAATATTTTGATTTTGTGCTTCGAAAACTTCTTCAGCTGAGCACCCTCACAGCTTGCACAATTCGCTCCATTCTGATTTTTCCATTCTGATTTTCACCCACGTTCTGGCGGAACGTGGATGAGCCTGCATGCACGGCATGTCGTGAATCAGAAGACGGCTGGCTGTCCTAGGGTCACTGAGTATCACATGGTACACACACGGGTTACGTGGCACCAAGCCTCCCTATTGTAATGATCATAGTGCGGTTGAGGATTTCTCAAAGTTGTTTTCAGCAAACGAGAGGCTATTTCTATTCAGAAAGGAAGCTCTGGACAGGATTTGTCTGACGAACTTTACCTTGCCGTGCCTGTAAATCTTTTATTTTAAATTATAATGACTAATTTCGTGTATAGTTAGATAGATGGGGTGCATACATAACTTCTTCTAGAGCCTTTTTCCAAATTGGTCCGCGTACTACTTGCGGGCGTTTGTGTTTGTGGGCGAGGGGTGCATTCAGCTGCGCATGCGGACGGCCGTTCGGCAGAAGTGGCGATCTCAACAGTTATCGGAATTTCTGCCTGGCTCAATAAGCCTATCATCACCTCTGGCGATGGGTCGTCACAAAATGTGCAAGGGCGTCCGCCCATGCTGTGTGTGTGTGTGGGGGGGGGGGGGGGGGGGGGATGTTCCCAATAGCATTGAGATTGAGCCTCGCTTCAACCATACAGGGAATTCGGGACCAACTCCGAAGATCCCTGGGCGTGTCGAAGACCAATCCGCTCATTGCTCTTGCTCTTGTTTTGTTTTTGTTTTTTTGATGCCTACTAGCTGGAATCACCGACAAAGCACCAGCTCATTTTCACGACCGACTCCCTTGCTGATCTCTCGTCGCGCTACTATAGCCGCTCCAGGATTCTTGGCGCCCTTGCTAGTCTGTGCTTTGCCGGTCTAAGTCTGTATGCGCTGCACCGGCTCAGGACCTTCATGATTGAACAGCAGCGAGCTGAGCTGATCCGCGACGCCCTGGCTTCGCGCAAGCCAAAGTTCTGCATCAAGTGCATGAAGCAGCCCGCTACCATGCTGGTGCTGGAGTGCCGGCATTTCGCCGTGTGCGAGAAGTGTGCACCGGACTTGCAGGAGTGCCCCGCCTGCACCACACCCGCAACCCAAGTCACGTTGCCGTCGCGCTACTGATACCATCTGAGATGTGTGATACGTGCGCCATGCGTCCCGTCCCGGACATGGTACTCTATATGGAATGCACAAAATAGTAGTGGCTTGTGTACTTGGGGTACCTGCACGGAAAGAAGGTACTTGTGAACCTGGAGCTCTCTGTGTGTGTGCCATATCACTAACATCATTGCATTGCGAGGCGAATACAGTCGGATGTCCACAGAATGCTGACTGTGGATAAGCACAGAGCATTGTACAAACAGCAACAGGACGCTGAACAGTTAGGCGTAACTCCGAGTTTCACATCATGACGATTCTCAAGCCGTTTGTCATAATTATTACACTGTCAAGAAAAAGAGATTATAAGTGGGGTATGAGACCTGTTCTACAAGCCAGCAGTATCAAAGACTGGCACAGGCCTGCACTCTCGCACACAGGATGCTTGCCACCCGCTCCCCCCCCCCCCCCCCCCCCCTTCACAGAAATTTCCATACTTGATGCCGTCTATGAAGTATTTTTGTTTGTTAGTCCGCCTCCTGTATATAGACGTGTAATATTGGCACTTCTATGACTGTAGTCGGTTTCTTGCGTTGCCCAACATTTCCCAGTATGTTCTTGTGTATTGTTTCTTATCTAGAAGTTTCTCAGGATTCAGTTTCTTGTTCCCTTTTTATTTTCTGTTTCTTTGTGTCTATCAGAGAATGTAGACTCTTTTTATGATGTTGCTAGGGTCTTTCCTGCTTCTACTGAGTCCTAGGATCTTTCATAATCCATGTTGACATTGTTGTGCATGTAGTTGAGCAACGCGCATTTAGGGTGTTGGCTTTTGTATTTCAGTGGGCGTGTGAGAATTTTTTGTTTCTTTCTCCTTTGACCTTGCTCACATTGTCACTGTATGGCTGCTGGTACGGGTTGGAGCCTGGTTTCTAGAGCGGGCCGCCTCATTTCAGCGATAACCCAGATTCGGAGCACTATTCACCGTAGCTCCAGTTGTAGAGATCACCTCCGCTCAAAGACCAACGTCCTAGGTTGGTCCCAAGGGTGCTCAACTGGTTAAATGTGCTCTTGGCTTCACGTATGGTCAATTTGTTGTTTCTCCGTACTGGGTCTAAGTATGGTGGTCAGCAGCGCTGGCTGAGACTCGACTAAACGGCTGCATTTCACCAAGGGCGCGTTTGGTTGGTACGAACTAGAACAGGATTCACCAGAACAGTGCGTTTGGTTGGGACTGCACCTGGGTCGACCAGAACATGTTCTGCTTGCTCCGGCCTCGAGGCCGGAGCAGACCGAGCAGTTTCACTTTTTCACAGTGAAACCTGGCGGGAACATCGATTTTGGTCCCAAATGATCACGTGCATACGTTTTTGGGTTGGATTCGTTGTACCGTACAAAGTGAACATGGTGACCCATACGCATTTTGAAGAATGCACCAAGTTTGGCACATTATTCACAAAAATGTGCTCTGTTTGTGGAGTACCGTTTGGTTGACATGAGGCTGCTCCATGTGCACCAGCTGTTCGATCCTGTTCAAGATCGTACCAACCAAACGCACCCCAAGAGTGCATGAACAAAGTCATTCAATACAACATCCATAACTCAGACCAGTTCCCGACATTATTCAAGAAAAAGTTTGCCGAAAAAAGAAATCAGTGCACAGGCATTCAATAGAATGATTCAAAGTTCATCTTCCAGCGATGACAGTCAAGTGAAATAAAAGATAATGGTAAAAGAGTAAGGGTCCTGGAGTAGAAGAATTAATGAGTATTCTACATCTAGAGAGGAAGAATGCTAGTGGCGTACGATGAAAACTAAAAGTCGGTGAAACCAGAGGAGCAAACATTGCATTTGGAGAGAGAGAGAGAGAGAGAGAGAGAGAGAGAGAGAGAGAGAGAGAGAGAGAGAGAGAGAGAGAGAGAGAGAGAGAGAGAGAGAGAGACCACAACCAAGTCAGCATACAATGTTGCAGAAAATAAACACACCAGAAAAAAAGTCATGGTGTGATTTGTGAGTCAGCGTAGACCAGCTTTGCATTTCAAACAATTATTATAGCATGCATGCAAAAGCAGATGAAAAGAAGGTAGAGGTGTGATCGGAACAAATTCCAAAAAAAACTGCTGGATAAAGGGAATCCAGATCACAAACGACCGCATGAGACGCCAGGTCAGTTTCTAAAAGCCTATAATACTCCTAAATGCAGAAAAAATCTGGAGAAAGACAAGAGCAGCCACGCACACACACACACATACACATGCACACACACCTACATATAATACATACTAGCCAGCGCCATCAGGACATTTCCGATGCACTTGGATTGGAGTCGGAGACAATTTTACGGATACGCTGCACAAATTCCTCATTCGTCCGTGCATTAGGCTCAGCAATCGCATTCTCTGCTTTGTACGGCGGTTTGATGCGTACGGAGTCTAGGACAACAAGGTCTGTCCGGTTCCACATACAGTTGAAGCCCGAGACATTTAGACGGTCGCATACCACCTGCCCGACTTGAGGATCACCACTGCTGGCTCGCCGCGCCTCTGCCAGCTTCTCCTGAACGGCAAGGTGCGCGGATCGGTTGGCTTTGGACATGTCCACGCGGGGCAGACTGCTGACAGGCACAGGGGCTTTCTTGTTGCGCTCCAATACCTCCACTTGGACTTGAGATAAGTTATACATTGTTATCACCGACTGTCCTGGCTTTTCCTCAACCTGCCGCCGCACAACCATACATTGGTCCTTGCCATTGCACGACGAGACTTCTCCCACCGTCTGCTCGCCACGAAACGTGATTTTGACTTTGGACCCAATGGGATACTCTGCATTCCCTCCAGATCCTGCTGCAGCAGCTGCGTAGTGAGCCATTGCACAGAAATGGCAATCAGGATCGAGGACAACACAATGAGACCCAGTTCAGCCGCAACGAAGGCAATTTCAGAACTGATACAAGTGTATTCTGCAACAGTAAAGGCAATACTCCAATAGGCAATACCAATAGTCAACAATTGTTGTCTATTCTGGATTTTTTACTTTACAATCGATCACAGACATTTTGTACGAACAAAAAAAACGCACAAAAAAAAGCTGGGCGCCTAGCGCCTGGGCCCTGGCCTGGCGCTCGCGCTGAAACCAGGCGGAGGCGGGCGCGCTGGAAGTGTGCACTTGCGCACTGCACTGCACTGTGTAGGTGATTACAAATGTGTAAAATAATTTATTAACTGGTTTGCATTTGAGGGAAAGAGACAAACGGGAAAAGTCTGAAGAAAAAATATTGACTGCCACCACCAGGACTCGAACTAGGGACCCTCGCTTGTAGCTAGCGATGCTCTAACCACTGAGCTATGGTGTAGTCGTCATCCCAGCAGAGGCCGTTCAACGTTTTCTTCAGACTTCGTAACTCACACTTCCTGTGAATCCACACAGGCGGGTGGGACGCAGCCCTCACTGTGTGTGTTCACGGTAGTCTGAACGCGCCCAATAGGGGATTCACACACACGGGTAAAACCACGGTTATGGGAAAGTTGTTATGGAAACTATGGTACTGGGGGAAAGGAAGAACCTCTCGGGAAAAAATTGGCAAAGCCGTGGCCGTGGGCATCAGAGCGTTTGTCAAGGGAAAAATCCCATGGCTATAAGACGCGCATGCGTAGATCTTGTCTTTGGCGAGAACTCTGAACCCTAGTTGTACGAGTGCATCGCAACTTGCATTTTCAGACAGTGCCGATCGGAAAATCGTGCATGGGGAATGCAAGATACAGTAGTAATGTACTACAAAATGCAGTACAGATTATTTTTTTAGTTGCCCCGCCACAAGTTCATGGCCAAACATGCGGTCAAGGCAAAACTGACCACGGGTGTGAACGGCCCCACTCCGTTGACCGAAGGTCTGAACTTTTACCTTGTCCCGTGACCTCAGGTTTACCCGTGTGTGTGAATCCCCTATAACCCACACACTTCACGTACAAACTAGCACGCGGGGAGCCCCAAGTCATAAAATATTAACTGGTTTGAGGGAAAGAGACAAACGGGAAAAGTCTGAAGAAAAAATTGACTGCCACCACCAGGACTCGAACCAGGGACCCTCGTTTGTAGCTAGCGATGCTCTAACCACTGAGCTATGGTGTAGTCGTCATCCCAGCAGAGGCCGTTCAACGTTTTCTTCAGACTTCGTAACTCACACTTCCTGTGAATCCACACAGGCGGGTGGGACGCAGCCCTCACTGTAACCCACACACTTCACGTACAAACTAGCACGCGGGGAGCCCCAAGTCATAAAATATTAACTGGTTTGAGGGAAAGAGACAAACGGGAAAAGTCTGAAGAAAAAATTGACTGCCACCACCAGGACTCGAACCAGGGACCCTCGCTTGTAGCTAGCGATGCTCTAACCACTGAGCTATGGTGTAGTCGTCATCCCAGCAGAGGCCGTTCAACGTTTTCTTCAGACTTCGTAATAATAATAACTCACACTTCCTGTGAATCCACACAGGCGGGTGGGACGCAGCCCTCACTGTAACCCACACACTTCACGTACAAACTAGCACGCGGGGAGCCCCAAGTCATAAAATATTAACTGGTTTGAGGGAAAGAGACAAACGGGAAAAGTCTGAAGAAAAAATTGACTGCCACCATTATTTGAAACTCGGATGTTGAGCCGGCCATATTAAAACAAAATGTAGAAATTATTATTATTATTATTATTATTATTAGTGCAATTAGGAGTATAATAGATGCAGACATGGCCAGACAACAACGAGTTCATGGAATTTTTAAGGATTTTTATGTTATTCAAAATCGATTTTCGTGTTCCGCTCATCAGTGAATAGTATCGGAACTGAGGGTACTGTGTACAAAAATAGAACATTTTATAACAGCATAATTAATTAAAAGTGTGAACAACAAAGGAAGTGCTACAGCATTACATAATAGGTGTCAAACATAGTGCTAACGTATATAACTGAGTGCAGCCACAAAGCAAGAGGTCATACAGTGCAACATGACACAACATTTACATCTGATGACCAGCTACGAGAACAACTTTAGCGCGACTACGTGCTTCTTTTGTTTACAAAGAACAGGATTATGCACACGAATACATACAGCTTCCAGAACCTTCAACTGCTTAACATAACTTGCACGGCACAAAACAGAAAAGTGAGAATCATCGTACACACTAAGACAATCTGGACGTGATAACAAGTGACAAAATACAGCTGACTTTTTGCTCACGTCGCTCTCTTCCGTCTCATCCCGCTCCTTTCCTTCGACCTCCTCCGCCCTATCCTCGTCCTCCGTCTCATCTTCATCATCATCGTCCTCATCACCACCATCATCATCATCAGTCACTTCCTCATCATCCGTTTGATGCTCAGTCTCACTGCACTCCTTATCAGCCTCCAACATGGCTCCATCATCTCCACCAGCATCACAAGTCGTTTGACCGCTGCTCCGCGTCACCGTTGCTGGGTTCTCTGCTACTGCACACCCATTTCCATTGTCCATTTTGCGTGGGCCAAGTCCATTCCGTGCATAAATTTCAAGTGAATAGTTTGCTGTGCTTCTTCTGGGTCTATGGGTGAGGATATTGGTTTCATTTTGGTTTGTCGATGATCTCCCTCTCTGTCCAGACACAGTCGGCACCGTGGATCCCAGCACCGGGGGACCACCGTCTCGGTAGTCACCAAAGGTAAAGGGGGTGGCTCAGGTGGAGGCAGGTGTAAATGTTGTGTCATGTTGCACTGTATCACCTCTTGCTTTGTGGCTGCACTCAGTTATATACGTTAGCACTATGTTTGACACCTATTATGTAATGCTGTAGCACTTCCTTTGTTGTTCACACTTTTAATTAATTATGCTGTTATAAAATGTTCTATTTTT